ACATGGCCGAGCAGCTGCATCCAAGCCTTACATCACCAAGTGTAATGCAAAGTGTTGGATGCCGTGGTGTAAAGCACGCCGCCACTGGACTCTAGAGCAGTGGAGACATGTTCTCTGGAGTGACCAATCATGCTTCTCTGTCTGGCAATCTGATGGACGTGTCTGGGTTTGGTGGTTGCCAGCAGAACGGTACTTGCCTGACTGCATTGTGCCAAGTGTAAAGTTTGGTGGAGGGGGAATTATGGTGTGGGGGTGTTTTTCAGGGGGTTGGGCTTGGCCTCCTAGTTCCAGTGAAGGGAACTCTTAAGGCATCAGCATACCAAGACATTTTGCACAATTTCATTCTTCCCACTTTGAAGGAAGAGTTTTGGGATGGCCCCTTCCTGTTCCAACATGGCTGCACACCAGTGCACAAAGCAAGGTCCATAAAGACATGGAGGAGCCAGTTTGGGGTGGAGGAACTTGACTGGCCTGCACAGAGTCCTGACCTCAACCCCATAGAACACCTTTAGGATGAATTAGAGCGGAGACTGCGAGCCAGGCCTCCTCCCCCGACATCAGTGCCTGACCTAACAAATGTGCTTCTGGAAGAATGGTCCAACCTTCCCATAGACACCCTCCTAAACCTTGTGGACGGCCTTCCCAGAAGAGTTGAAGCTGTTATAGCTGCAAAGGGCGGGGCAACTCAATATTGAACCCTACGGACTAAGACTGGGGGGCCATTAAAGGTCATGTGTGTGGAAAGGGCGGCCTGCCAATAATGCGGGCAATATAGTGTATATTAAGTTATAGGAGATGTTTCTCAGAGCTGCAGTTCCTCTGAGCTCCGCAAGATGGTGAACTCACTCCTACCCAGACAGGAAGTGATGTCACTTTTAAACAGGAAGTTCCGGGTGAGTGGGGAGGAAGTAGAGAGGAGACAGTTGGTGGAAGTTGCAGCAGAGGAGGTAATAAGATGTTATTTCCTATTTACACCCAGTAACCCCCCGTCATGTCCGTCCTCTTCCCCCATAGTCACGTCCGTCCTCTTCCCCCATAGTCACGTCCGTCCTCTTCCCCCGTAGTCACGTCCGTCCTCTTCCCCCGTAGTCACGTCCGTCCTCTTCCTCCCGTAGTCACGTCCGTCCTCTTCCTCCGTAGTCACGTCCGTCCTCTTCCTCCGTAGTCACTTCCGTCCTCTTCCTCCGTAGTCACTTCCGTCCTCTTCCTCCGTAGTCACGTTCTTCCTCCGTAGTCACGTTCTTCCTCCGTAGTCACGTCCGTCCTCTTCCCCCGTAGACACGTCCGTCCTCTTCCCCCGTAGTCACGTCCGTCCTCTTCCCCCGTAGTCACGTCCGTCCTCTTCCCCCGTAGTCACGTCCGTCCTCTTCCCCCGTAGTCACGTCCGTCCTCTTCCCCCGTAGTCACGTCCGTGCTCTTCCTCCGTAGTCACGTCCGTCCTCTTCCTCCGTAGCCACGTCCGTCCCCTTCCTCCACAGTCACGTCCGTCCTCTTCCTCCGCAGTCACGTCCGTCCCTTCCTCCGCAGTCACGTCCGTCCTCTTCCTCCGCAGTCACGTCCGTCCTCTTCCTCCATGGTCACGTCCGTCCTCTTCCTCCATAGTCACGTCCGTCCTCTTCCCCCATAGTCACGTCTGTCCTCTTCCTCCATAGTCACGTCTGTCCTCTTCTTCCATAGTCACGTCCGTCCTCTTCCTCCATAGTCACTGTGACGTCTTTTATCTCCAGCAGATGATGATACACACATATATAGTGTGGGAACCCAGATTAACCCCTTCAGGGGCACAACATTCCCCCACTTACTGGCCAAAATGTTTTGGTGTTACCTTCTCACCTTAACCTCTTCACGCCGGCAGCACACAAATGTGCGGCCTCTCCCGGTGTCTTGGCCTAGACGCTGAGCAGCCGCACATTTGCGTTCAATTAACAAAAAACATATGTGCTGAGAGCGCTCCCAGCACACATGTCCGGTACTCATGGAAAGGTCGTGGTCTCCTCTTTCGATCGGGACCTTTCCTGATCATGTGACCGCTGTGACGTATGTATATATATATATATATATATATATATATATGTATGTATATGTGTGTATGTATATATATATATATATACTGGATATAGCATGTTGAAATGTGTTTTTATTACAAAATATATGAAAAATATTTTTTAAAATACTTTTCAAATATACTATATGTCTGTAAAAAAAAAAAATACATTTACAAATTTTTGTAAAAAAAATATATGTTAAAATAACTTTTTTTATATGTAAAGAAAATCTGAAGAATATATTTTAAAAAAAGATATATTTTTTAAATATATTCTTCAGATTTTGCAGTATATTTTTATATATATATATATATATATATATATTTCAGGTACTTATATAGCGCTGCCAATTTATGCAGCACTTTACATATATATTGTACATTCACATCAGTCCCTAACCCTCAAGGGGTGTACAATCTAAGGTCCCTAACTCACATTCATACATACACATACTAGGGACAATTTAGACAGGAGACAAGCTACCATCATGTCTTTGGAGTGTGGGAGGAAACCAGAATACCCGGAGGAAACCCACGCAGGCACAGGGAGAACATGCAAACTCCAGGCAGGTGGTGCCGTGGTTGGGATTTGAACCAATGACCCAAGTACTGCCAGGTGGAAGTGCTAACCATTAAGCCACTGTGCTGTCATGCTATATATATATATATATATATATATATATTATATTATTTATAAAAAATTTAATATTGAATATGGCCAAAATTGTAGTATTTCAAATATATGTCAATATATTTGGGAAGAATATTTTTAAAATATATTTTTCTTCCATGAGGGAGGTCTGCCTCGCAAAATGTCACCCCCCCCCCCCCCCCCCATAGTCCAGTATAGTTCAGAAGTGCCTTTACTGGGTAGGCGAATAATCTTACTCGGTACTCTGTATTACGGTACTCTCAAAAGCCCTGAAGAATATATTTTAAAAATATATATTTTTTAAATATATTCTTCAGATTTTTTATATATATATATATATATATATATTGAAATATATTGAAAATGGCCAAAATTTTAGCATTTCAAATCTATGGCAATATATTTGGGAAGAATATTTTTTAAATATTTTTTTCTTCCATGTGGGTGCAAATACAAACATTTTATCCTACATGGCCCTTGTTTAAAAAAAAAAAAAAAAAAAACATTGTGGGGAGGAATAAGTATTTTCCTAGCAAAAAATACAGATTTTTTTAATGTCTGTGAAAAATTAAAAAATTCCCCGGATTTCAGGTTGTTAGAGCCGATCTCCATTGAATGGAGAAATGCCATGGACCTAGACTCGCATTAAACCTTTGCATAGCAGGGTTAGTCCCACTGCAAGGGGTAAATGCTCTGGTTGTGTCTACAGGGTCGTGATGAGTTTCTTCTTCCCCGACAAATGACACTCACCTACGTTGTAGCAGTGGACTGTCCCTCAGTGTGCTCACATCTAGAGAAGGGCTATGGGATCCTCATAGGTCTTGATGATGTCAGAAGACCTGTGACCACCAGAGCCAGGGTGAGAACTTAGAGCCGAGAGCCTAGGCTGGGACCGGTCTTACAACTAGGGATAGGCTGCATGTTCGAGTCGAACATAAGTTTAAACTACACTTTTTTTTTTTTGTGAATGGGTAGCGGGTACCATGTACCCCATGCTCATTCACATGGGGGGGCCGGGATCTGGGGGCCCCCTTGTTAAAGGGAGCTTCCAGATTCCGATAAGCCCCCTGCTCACAGACTCCCACAACCACAGCCCAGGGTTGTGGGGAAGAGGCCCTTGTCCCCATCAACATGGGGACTAGGTGCTTTGGAGGGGGGGAGCCAAATATGCACAGAACGATTGTACATGAAGATTTGCTGGATGAATGGCTATTTTTTTTTTTTCAAATAGACCCCTAAGTAACCAATCTACCTGTTCTAATTGTCACTGAAGGCAACCCACGTATAAACACCTTAGTACCCCCATCTTAGAATTTTGCAACCAATACCATCCAGATAATTCTCTGCTATCCATCTACAGAGAAACCCACATAGAAAACATGACCACATCAATGAGGATGGAGGAGGACCGGAGTCACATGACTGAGAGGATACTAAACCTCACCCTGGAGATCATCTACCTGCTGACCGGAGAGGTGAGGAGGATTCTGGGAGGTCACATGACATCACTCTTATCTCTATTAATAAAATGCAGACCTGACCGGAGAGGTGAGGAGGATTCTGGGAGGTCACATGACATCACTCATCTCTATTACATGGACCTGACCGTGAGAAACATGGAGGTCCTGACTCATCGCTATTAATAAAACGAGACCTGACCGGAGAGTGAGGAGGATTCTGGGAGGTCACATGACATCACTCTCATCGCTATTAATAAAACGCAGACCTGACCGGAGAGGTGAGGAGGATTCTGGGAGGTCACATGACATCACTCTCATCTCTATTAATAAACATGGACCTGACCGGAGAGGTGAGGAGGATTCTGGGAGGTCACATGACATCACTCATCGCTATTAATAAAACGCAGACCTGACCGGAGAGGTGAGGAGGATTCTGGGAGGTCACATGACATCACTCTTATCTCTATTAATAAAACACAGACCTGACCGGGAGGTGAGGAGGATTCTGGGAATGTGACATATTACCATTTTTGTTTGAATACAGAGATTTCCTCCTGTGAAGTCAGGTGATCATATGACCATCACAGTGCCTCCATGTGACTCCCTAAACCCTGAGAGAAACATGCAGAAGATTCTAGAAGTCACCAAGAAGATGATGGAGCTGCTGACAGGAGAGGTGAGCGGTGCCTGTGGTGGGAATTTCTGGGACATTCTCCAGTAACAGACAAGGGATGTAACTGCAGTCTGGATGGTGACTGTATCATTGTGTGTGTCAGGTTCCTATAAGGTGTCAGGGTGTCACTGTCTATTTCTCCATGGAGAGTGGGAGTATTTAGAAGGACACAAGGATCTCTACAAGGACGTCATGATGGACAATCAGCCGCCCCTCACATCACCGGGTAAGAGGAGACTTTATTGTAAAGGAAGAGAGCAGTACGGAGGATCCACCTAGATCCCCCATCATCTGATAAACACATAGAAACAATGGATTCAGTCAGTGTGTGTGTTTCCTACAGATGGATCCAGTCATGGGAACCCACCAGAGAGATGTCCCCATCCTCTGTATTCCTGGGATTCCACACAGGAAGGTCACACCATCCCTCACCATCATCAGGTAGATGGATCCAGTAATGGGAACCCATGATCCCAGAGAGATGTCCCCGTCCTCTGTATTCCCCGGGATTCCACACAGGAAGGTCACACCATCCCTCTCCATCATCAGGTCGGTGCAGTTGAGGGTCTGGAACATAAAGTGATGGAACACTCTGACATGTGGAGACGATGTGTGGACTCTACAAGATGATATTTTCTATGTGATCTCACATCATAAATCCTTCTATATTACAGATGTTATTTCTGCCATTCTGTTGGTTTAGGGTGAAGATCTGATGAAGATGAAAGTTGAGGGTGAAGTAGAAGAGACGTATGTGAGGGATGATCAGCAATATACGGAGGAGGCTGGAATGACGAGGACATTCAAAGAGGAGGACACTCCTACAGAGATCAGCACAGGTGAGCCACAATATATTCTTCTGTTATCTCTGCTCTGTTCCTGCACACTGATTGGTCCAGAGTAGGGCGGGAGATGAGTGATGTCATAGGTTGATAATACTCACCTTGCACTGATACCCGTCCTGCACATTAGATCTTCTTTCCTCTCAGATAAACCCCCTTCTCTGTGCTGCAGACCAGTGGTGTATTTAGGTTCCATGCTGCCCTAAGCAACACAAAAATCAGCTCCCCCCACCACCACGTAGAAGTAATCTGAGGGAGAGGACCAAAGGACCTTTTACTGTAGAAGTGATCTGGGGGGAGGACCAAAGGACCTTTTACTGTAGAAGTGATCTGGGGGGAGGACCAAAGGACCTTTTACTGAAGAGGGGAAGTCACAGCTAGTTGGGACATCTACAGAGAACATCTGCTCACTAAAACCTACCTGATCCAGATGGAATCTTGATTTGATGCCGATGCCTAGGCCTATGGTCTCTTGTTCTCTACTAAAGGCTCTACAAGTCTGAACTTTGAACCTCTTCATTATCAGAGATCACATGACCCAGTGCCTAGGCTTGTGGTTGTGTGAAGAGCATGCCCCTCCCAGTCCCCATTGATTCCTGCTCTTCTGACAAGGCTGGGGAAATGTAGAAGTGATCTGGGGGGAGGACCAAAGGACCTTTTACTGAAGAGGGGAAGTCACAGCTGGTTGGGACATCTACAGAGAACATCTGCTCACTAAAACCTGCCTGATCCAGAATCTTGATATAAGTAATCTAACCTTCTCGTATCTATTGATCTTGTTTTTATATTTTTCCAGGACACGCCATCGAGAAACCCTCAAAGGATCATCTCACTTTATCTCCAGGCTGTAAAATGGAAGATGAGGAGATCACAAGAGATTGTGCAGGAGAAAAGACAATGATCTCAGCTATGGATGGTGGACTTCACAGTGTGGATGGACCATCAAATCCCTCTGACTCTGAGCAACCTCGTACTGTGAGGGATGGTGCTGGAATTCAGGGGGAGGAGACATTTTCCTGTCCTGAATGTGGGGAAAGTTTTCGCTCTGAATCAAATCTTACTGTACATCAGAGATCTCACACGGGTGGGAAGCCTCATTCCTGTTCTGAGTGCGGGAAATGTTTCTTTCATAACTCAGAACTTGTCATACATTACAGATCTCATAAGGGCAAAAAGCTGTATTCCTGTCCTGAGTGTGGGAAACATTTTTCAAAGAAGTGGAATCTTTACAGTCATCAGAGTTCTCACACGGGGGAGAAGCCATATTTATGTCCAGAGTGTGGGAAATCTTTCTCACAATTGTCCCATCTTTACAGACATCAGAGGTTTCACAAAGGGAACAAGCAATGTTCCTGTCCTGAGTGCGGGAAATGCTTTACAGAGAAATCAGTCCTTCTTAGACATCAGAGATCTCACACCGGGGAGAAGCCTTACTGCTGTCCTGAGTGCGGGAAGTGTTTTTCAGAAAAGTGGAATCTTTGCACACATCAAAGGATTCACACGGGGGAGAAGCCGTATTCCTGTCCTGAATGCAGGAAATGTTTTTCACAGAAATCAATCCTTGTTCGACATCAAAGATCTCACACAGGAGAGAAGCCTTATTCCTGTTTTGAGTGTGGGAAACGTTATTCAAAGAAATCAGCCCTTGTCAAGCATCAAATATCTCACATGTGAGAAGCCGCATTCCTTCCATGAGTGAGGGAAATGTTTATCACTGGTGTCCCATCTTCACACAAATCAGAATTTTCACATGGGGGAGAAGTCGTATTCCTAGGTGTGGGAAATGTTCTTCACAGAAGTAACTGCTTTCCTGCTGCCCTATAGCAGATATTCTGCTACCAAGCAGCAGGGGTGAACAAAATCACATATATTTGTGATTTTGCATTTCTGGGTAGGGGGCATGCCCTACCTGCGCTGCTATTTGCGGCTTCGGCTGTCAATCACTGGGTCCTGGCTGGTGATTACTCGCCGGCACCCGGTGATCACCAGGTATTACAATACAGTTCTCTCCCGTCAGCTTCTGTACACTACTTTGTATGGCTCTGCATAGCAGTGTGATTACAGTGAAGCACACACCTCTAGTAAAAAACACTCCCTGCACAGAGTTAACCCTTTGATCACCCCCATGTTAACCCCTTCCTGCCCAGTGCTATTAGTACAGTGTCAGTGCTTTGTATTAGCACTGATCACTGTATTGGTGTCACTGGGGATATCAGTGCCACCAAGTCAGTTCCCCCCCCCCCCCCCCCTTAGTGTCAGAATGTCCTCCACAGTCCCACTATAAGTCTCTGATCGCCGCCATTACTAGTAAAAAAAAAAAAAAAAAATCCCAGTATCTATACCGCCATTTGTAGACGCTATAACCTTCACATAAAACAATTCATTTACATGTATTGGGGTTTTTTTTTCCCACAAAGACATGGAGCAGAGTACATTTCGGCCTAAATTTATGATATTTGATTTTTTTTTTTTTTTTTTTTTACTGGATATGTTTAATAGCAAAAAGTCAAAAATACTGTTTTTTTTCTCAAAATTGTTGCTTTTTTTTATAGTGCAAAAAATAAAACGCACAGGCGATCAAATAACAGCAAAAGAAGGCTCAATTCGTGGGAAAAAAGGACAGAAATTTAATTTGGGTGCGGCGTTGCATGACCGCGCAATTGTCAGTTAAAGTAACGCAGCGCCATAATGCAAAAAATGACCTGGTCAGGAAGGGGGGGAAATCCTCCGCTATTCTTTGATTTATAGAGATTTCTGGGTATAGCGATTACTGTTATGTAACACTGTACCCAAATGACAGATAGATCTTATATATTGCTAAACAAAGAAAATAAAGACCAAACGTTTTGACAAAAAAAGTTTTAATTTCTGTTAGAAAATTTTGTAAATCAGTACTTTTTTTCTTCACTGATGAGAACTGATGAGGCAGCACTTATGGGAACTGATGAGGTGGCACTGATGATACTGCATTGATAAGAAGCACTGATGTGAACTGATGAGGCAGCACTGACAGGCTGCCCTGATGATGTGGCACCGATAGGCAATTATTGATACTGCATTATAGGCAGCACTGATGGGAACTGATGAGGCAGCACTGATGGGCACTGACAGACTGAACTGATGATACTGCATTGATAGGCAGCACAGATGGGAACTGATGAGGCAGCACTGATGGGCACTGACAGGCTGCACTGATGGTGTGGCACCGATGGGCATTGATGATACTGCATTGATAGGCGGCACTGACAGACTGCACCGATAAGCACTGATGAGGAGGCACTGATACTGCATTGATAGGCAGCACTGATGGGAACTGATGAGGCAGCACTGATGGGCACTGACAGATTGAACTGATGTTGCTTGATACTGCATTGATAGGCAGCACTGATGGGCACTGATGAGGCAGCACTGATGGGCACTGACAGGCTGCACTGATGATGTGGCACCGATGGGCATTGATGATACTGCATTGATAGGCGGCACTGACAGACTGCACCGATGGGCACTGATGAGGAGGCACTGATACTGCATTGATAGGCAGCACTGATGGGAACTGATGAGGCAGCACTGATGGGCACTGACAGATTGAACTGATGATACTGCATTGATAGGCAGCACTGATGAGGCAGCACTGATGGGCACTGACAGGCTGCACTGATGATGTGGCACCGATGGGCATTGATGATACTGCATTGATAGGCGGCACTGACAGACTGCACCGATGGGCACTGATGAGGAGGCACTGATACTGCATTGATAGGCAGCACTGATGGGAACTGATGAGGCAGCACTGATGGGTACTGACAGGCTGCACTGATGATACTGCATTGATAGGCAGCACTGATGGGCACTGATGATCAGTGTAAACGTGCCTGTGAGAATTGCCAGGTTACCGACTCTCATTTCCTCACACTGTTGCAGCGCATGAGGAAAAGACTGCCGCTAACCGACAAGTCTGTTTACACTCTGATCAGCTGTGATTGGACACAGCTGATCACATGGTAAAGGGTCGCTATGATTGGCCCTTGACCTCAATATGAGATCAGATGTGTCCAAAGAACACAGCGATCACAGAGCATGCCCGATGCATACCCCAGGAACTGGCGGGGGGGCACAGTTATGGGAGAATGTCAACCGTAACTCAAACCGCTCGTCACAACCAAGGTATGCAGAATACCATCTCTGAACACACAACACATCCAACCTTGAAGCAGATGGGCTACAGCAGCAGAAGACCACACCCGTGCCACTCCTGTCAGCTAAGAACAGGAAACGGAGGCTACAGTTTGCTCAGGTCCACCAAAAACTGGACAACAGAAGATTGGAAAAACGTTGCCTGGTCTGATGAGTCTGGATTTCAGCTGCGACAATCAGATGGTAGGCTCAGATCCTGCCTTGGATCAACAGTTCAGGCTGGTGGTGGTGTCATGGTGTGGGGGAGATTTTCTTGGCCATTTTGGGCCCCTTAGTACCAACTGAGCATTGTTTATATGCCACGGCCTACCTGAGTAGTGTTGCTGACCATGTCCATTCTTTTATGACTCCAGTGTCCCCATCTTCTGATGGCTCCTTCCAACAGGATCATGCCCCATGTCACAAAGCTCCAAGTGGCCAGCGAGTGTATGTCCGGACATATCTAGACACATTGTCATATACTGTATATCTAAGCAGGCCCCCATGCTGGTCATGTTAACAGAAGTCTAAAAAAAGTTATCATACTCAATAGGGGTTATGATCATCAGTCAGAACCTGAAGCAAGGATGTGGCCACCAGCCAAACCAGGATGCAATGTAGAGTGGGTTGGCCTAAACCAGAGGTGAAGTGCAGTGAACTGGTCAAAAATCAGAAGTTGGTGGAGTGGTGGGACACCTGTCAAAATGAGGAAGTAGGCAGTTTGACAAGACCCTGGCTTTCCTCTGACCTGCTTATGGCATAGATTCAACAAGGTGTTGGAAATGTTCCTCAGAGATTATGGTCCATATTGACATGATAGCATCACGCAGTTGCTGCAGATTTGTTGGCTGCACATCCATGATGCCAATCTCCCATTTCACCATATCCCAAAGGTGCTCTATTGGATGGAGATCTGGTGACTGTGGAGGCCATTGGAGTACAGTGACCTCATTGTCATGTTCAAGAAAACAAGTTGGAGATGATTGGAGCTTTGTGACATGGTGCACTATCCTGCTGTAAGGAGCCATCAGAAGATGGGGACACTGTAGTCATAAAGGGATGGACATGGTCAGCAACACTACTCAGGTAGGCTGCGGCATTTAAACAATGCTCAGTTGGTACTAAGGGACCCAAATTGGCCAAAGAAATCTCCCCCACATCATTACACCACCAGCCTGATCCGTTGATACAAGGCAGGATGGATCCACCACACTATGACACCACCATCACCAGCCTGAACCGTGGATGCAAGGCAGGATGGATCCACCACACCATGACACTACCACCACCAGCCTGAACCATTGACACAAGGCAGGATGGATCCACCACACTATGACACCACCACCACCAGCCTGAACCGTTGATACAAGGCAAGATGGATCCACCACACCATGACACCACCAGCCTGAACCGTTGATACAAGGCAGGATGGATCCACCACACCATGACACCACCACCACCAGCCTCAATCATTGCTACAAGGCAGGATGGATCCACCACACCATGACACCCACCACCAGCCTCAATCATTGCTACAAGGCAGGATGGATCCACCACACTGTGACACCACCTCCACCAGCCTGAACCGTGGATACAAGGCAGGATGGATCCATGCTTTCATGTTTTTGCCAAATTCTAACCCTACCATCTCAATGTTGCTGCTGAAATTGAGACTCATCAAACCAGGCAACATTTTTCGAGTCGTCTATTGTCCAATTTTGGTGAGCCTGTGGAAATTGTAGCCTTCATTTCCTGTTCTTAGATGACAGGAGTGGCACCCGTTGTGGTCTTCTGCTGCTGTAGCCCATCCGCTTCAAGGTTCGAGGTGTTGTGCGTTCAGAGATGGTATTCTTCATACCTTGGTTGTAACGAGTAGTTATATGAGCTACTGTTGCCTTTCTTTCATCTCAAATCAGTCTGCCTATTCTCTGACCTCAGCAAGGCATTTTCCTCCACACAACTGCCACTCACTGATTATTTTCTCTTTTTTGGACCATTCTCTGTAAACCCTAGAGATGGTTGTGTGTGAAAATCCTAGTAGATCAGCAGTTTTTTAAATACTCAGACCAGTCCATCTGGCACCAACATGCCATGTTCAAAGTCACTTAAATCCCCTTTCTTCCCCATTCTGATGCTCAGTTTGAACTTCAGCAAGTTGTCTTCACCACGCCAATGTGCCGAAATGCATTGAATTGCTGCCATGTGATTGGCTGATTAGTAATTTGTGTAACCAAGAAATTGAACAGGTGGACCAAATAAAGTGGCTGGTGAGTGTAGGTTTCTTGTGTAACAAGTCCAATTTTAATGGCAGAACCATCAGCCAATCAGATAGATAGTGCATGAGTCTTGCTGTAGAGAGGCAGGCCCAAGTGATGGGGGAGGGGCACATCCAAAATGCAGGCACATGCCCTCTAGTCAATATTGGGCTTTAACATCAGGGGACTTTTCAGGTCCTTGCAAAGACGAGGGTAATGAAATACGAATGGTTAAAGCCAATGAGGCCAGGGTAAGCAAGGAGGCAACAGTGGCTTCCTTACCCACTGGCCTAATGGAACAGATCCAAAAGAAGTTACTCAGAGTCTCACAGAGGAGACACAGGTTGGTTGGGCATCAGTGAAGCAGGTGCTCCTCAGGGTCAATGCTGGTCAGGCTAGGCCCAGTAGTATTGGTTCAGATGCATGAGAAGGTATCAACCAGGGGCAGACTGACCATTTGGAAACTCAGGCAATGCCCGAGGGCCCGGAGTCAGTAGGGGGCCCCATGAGATGCCCCTGGTACCTTTTTCATAGGCTTTTTTGAGTTTGGGCAAGGACACAGGGGCCCCATGAGTTGTCTGTCTGCCCCTGGTATCAACAATGCTGGAGTAATTATTGCCTCAGGTAACAGGGATTCTTTGAGCACCATTTTGAGTCCTGGCGTGCATTCTACGATGAGGAGTTCTGGAAGTTTTGGCAGGGCTTCTGAGAGTACCGT